CCCTTGGGGCACTCCGCTTGAAACCGGCTGCCAACTAGACTTCCCGTTGAGCCCGACGATCTAGCCAGCTTTCTATCCACCTTACAGTCCATTCATCCAGCCCATACTTCTTTAACTTGGCGGCAAGAATACTGTGGGAGACCGTATCTAAAGCTTTGCTAAAGTCAAGGAATAACACATCCACTGCTTTCCCCTCATCCACAGAGCCAGTTATCTCATCATAGAAGGCAATTAGGTTAGTCAGGCACGACTTCCCCTTCGTGAATCCATGCTGACTGTTCCTGATCACTTTCCTCTCCTCTAAGTGTTTCAGAATTGATTCCCTGAGGACCTGCTCCATGATTTTTCCAGGGACTGAGGTGAGGCTGACTGGCCTGTAGTTCCCCGGATCCTCCTCCTTCCCTTTTTTAAAGATGGGCACTACATTAGCCTTTTTTCAGTCATCTGGGACCTCCCCCGATCGCCATGAGTTTTCAAAAATAATGGCTAATGGCTCTGCAATCTCACCCGCCAACTCCTTTAGCACCCTCGGATGCAGCGCATCCGGCCCCATGGACTTGTGCACGTCCAGTTTTTCTAAATAGTCCCGAACCACTTCTTTCTCCACAGAGGGTTGATCACCTTCTCCCCATGCTGTACTGCCCAGTGCAGCAATCTGGGAGCTGACCTTGTGCGTGAAGACAGAGGCAAAAAAATCAGGTAAAATTTAGGTAACATTCAACCTCCTAGAACCTCAGGTGAGATCACCCGTGTAAATTATTTCCGGTCACTGTTCCCCGTGGGATGCTGTTAGCGTACTGGGGCAAGTAGCTTCCAGTCACTGTTTCTGGTCAGACACTATTACAGTGAGTACCAGGACAAATAACTTCCTGTTAGTGGTTCTAGTTCAGTGGTCAGCAACCTTTCAGAAGTGGTGTGCCGAGTCTTCATTTATTCACTCTAATTTAAGGTAATACATTTTAACGGTTTTATATAAGTCTATAATATATAAGTAAACTATTGTTGTATGTAAAGTAAATAAGGTTTTTAAAATATTTAAGAAGCATCATTTAAAATTACATTAAAATGCAGAGCCCCTTGGATCGGTGGCCAGGATCCGGGCAGTGTGAGTGCCACTGAAAATCAGCTCACGTGCCGCCTTTGGCACGCGTGCCATAGGTTACCTCCCCCTGTTCTAGTTGAATACCATTAGAGCTTTTACTAGGGTAACTTAACTTCTGCTCACTGTTTCCCAATCCGTAGGCCAGTAGGAAGGGAAGTGGGGATTGCAGTGACAGGCTGTGCCCTGAGTGGTTGGTGCTGCTATTAGGCAAAGATCGTAGCTGCACTGGCACTGGGAGACACTGATTTCACAGTGAGAGGGTGAAGACAAAAGATTAATATGGTCCTGCCTGCCATGCTCTGACGGGCCCTGTTGCATCATGGGCAGTGTAGTCCCATTCTCCTGTGTGTTCCAGTCCCCACCCTGTGTGCCTTGTGACCTTCCTGGTGATCTCCAGTGGGGGCACTGGGTTATTTTGGGTTTTCCAGATTCCAGCCCAGAGTCACTCCCTGGAGTGTTACCTTAGCCCCCGACCCCAGCTGCAGCCTGCCTCGCCTCTCCCCAGGTACCCATGTGAACATCTCGCTTTAACGCCGGTCCTGGGCCTGGAAACATCCAGTGACTGCATGTGTTCACAGGAGCAGGGCCAAACTCTTTATGGGTCCAGGTGTAAAGGTCAGATTTCTTCCTTTATAAATCAAGGTTCTTTGAATTGCTGAACAGAAGGTCTGCAGCATAAACAAATTTTCCAGTAAATGCTAATTAATATATGATGCTTCTAAGTGCACCAAGATAAGTAGCCTTCAAAGGTGTTTGTGAGAAACTGGGGGTCATGTGTTAGCATAATCAGAGTAGCTTGATTAGCTCCTAGGCAGGTCTTTCCATTCACAGATTCAAAGGAAGGAGTGTGTCTTCGGGTAGTGAGTCTGTGGGTGCTCCGGGGCCCAAACACCAATGGAAAAAAATAGTGGGTGCTCAGCACCCACTAGCCACAGCTGTTCGGCGGCTGGGGGAAGCGCTTGGGGGAGGGTGGAGAGCAGTGGGTGGCGGTCAGCAGTGGCCTCGGGGGAGGGGTTGGGGCGGGAAGAGATGGAGTGAGGGTGTGGCCTTGGGAGCCGGGGCCAGGAAGAGGCGGAGGGAGGGTCTTGGGGAGGAGCGGGGTTGAAGC